TGGTGGCATGCCGTGTCCTAATATACTTGAATAAAAACATCACAACTCCCAAGATAGGGACTTTAACTAAAAAAAAAACAAAAAACAAATGATTAATTCATATGCTATTTGTGATATATGTTTATTTGTTTTGATTTGCCAAATTATTATTATTCAACAATTTTTGCCTAATATTGTATACTTATTATTTTTACTTTTTAGATCTTTATTTATAAATTTTTTTAAATTTAATTTTTATATTGATATTTGTTAAAATAAAATGCCTTACACTTAAAGATAAAATTTATTGAAGAAGTATGATGATCTAGTAAAATGATTAGGTTGTCAACTTTCAAGTAGTAGATTAGATGTTCAAATTTCATCAATAATAAAAATTTAAATAATTATCTATATAATATTCATATTACAATAACATTACTAATGATTAGATTAGGATATTTATAATGGCAATTGCATCAATATAACTGACAAGTTATAGAGTATCTATGTAATTAATTATATAAAGGAATGCAAACTAACAAATTAAGCAATACAAGCATTAAATAAGTTTTTGTAATTATATAAATCTGTTAAAATTAGGTAACAAGAAGTTTATTTAAAAAAATCTGAATAGAGAAATAACTAAATATTTGATAGCCTTACTATAAAGACTAAACTAAGAAAATGAATATCAAAGTTATAGTATCTAGTCATAGTATTTATATAGGCAAGAACCTTTAGGTTGGAAGTTTTAAAGATATTATCAACTAGGCTATTAGAATGAACTAGAGAAAAAAAATATCTGACTGATCTATATATCAATGAACTAATCATAATCCTATATGAACTATCTGAATTGAAAGTTTGATAAAAAAACAGACAAAAAAACAGAAATTACTAAATTACTAAGGTTATGCTATAAAATAAATGCTAGGATTTGTGTAAACTTTACAAAGATATAATAGTTAAATAATATAACTCTTATTGCAAGTGTTGGTTTTGTTATAGCAATACCTAGATCAATTGTAAAAATAGATACAGAAAGCTTTAAAGAATTTATTTTGAAGATAAAATAATTCTAAAGTTGAGACAATAATCTAGACATCTAAGTTAACTTAGTAATGTTAATACAGATTGCAGATTCAGAAGATTTAAAGTGAAACATCCAAACAGAAGTATTAGATATAGCAATTAGTAAAGAACCTTTAGATGAACTTCTTAAATAGATAATATAGAAAGTTATATATGTAACCAATTGTATGCTCTTCTGTAATAGTTTATAAAATAACATTATTAAAAAAATCATTAATAAAAGTCAAAAGACCAAAGAAGTTACCTTAACATTAAAAAAAAAAAATTTTTACTGCATCTTATATTTTTGTTAAAAATAAATACTAAAATATAACACAATAAATCTTTTGCATTTAAATAAAATTTTTTTTTCTGTTTTTTTATATAACTTATCTATATAATAGATACTCATTAACAGTTAATATGTATCAAAATAAATTGTGCTAAAGAAATTCTGCAGAGGTCTTAGTCTTACAAAGATTATATAACATTTAAAAGAATTTACACATAAAAACCCAAAAATAAAATTAATTACATATAGCAATCCAAAATAAAAAATTATTACAAATATCATAAACAGAAATTTGTCTAATTGGCTAATAAATTCAATTTAATTTTACATTATTTATACAGTTTAGAGTACTTTTTAAAAAACAAAAACTAATCATAATAAAATAAAAAAAACATATAGAAGGTTTCATTAGAGCTGTAGAACTCTATAACCAAAAATAAGATCTACTTCTCGTCCGTTTAAAAAAGTTTGTATAGTAATAACCTTTCAAAACCTGATAAAATCAACTTATTACTAAGCTAATTTTTTTAAATGGACGAGAATTAGATCTTATTTTTGACTATGGAGTTCTACAGTCCTGATGAAACCTTCCATATGGTTTTTTTACTTTATTATGGTTGGTTTTCGTTTTTTTAAAAGTACTCTAAACTGCATAAATAATGTAAAATTAAATTGAATTTATTAGCCAATTAGACGAACTTCAGCCGGGTTTTACATCTATCTATCATGCTTAATATAATAATGATTAGAACTTTGATTTTTATTTTGATCTTTGTTTTGACTTTCACTTGGTTTTCGTTTCGAGTTTACTTTGATTTTCGGTTTGACTTTGACTTTCGCTTTGACTCTCCTTTGCTTTGACTTTCGCTTTAACTTACATTTTGGCTTTCACTATGACTTTCGTTGGACTTTGACCTTCACTTTGACTTCACTTTTACTTTGAGAATTTTTGCCGTGTAGAATTCACAAAAATATAATTTTGATCGATCGTTTAAATAAGCTATTTAAGTTCATGAATATTTCGTACTTTGCTTCTTATTTATTAATGTTAATTTATCTAGTAAATACAAAGTATTTTAATGTCCAAAATGACTACGGTATATTATATCTTTTATTCGTGTTATTTAGTTATATATAAAAACCATTTTAATCAATGCATTAAAATTCGTAAAGTTATAAGTTTGTTAACGAGGTTTGTAAAAAGTGTCTTTAGTTTTTTTGTGTAAAAAAAATTAAAGATATTTTAGTGACATTATCGTTATATAATTATTTTAATTCGGCTACCTTGTTTCTGGGTAATACTATGTAAGTCTTATACCTTAGTCGCCTAGTATAGCTCGGAGATCGAACAGGCCCTTATTTGTAATAATTTTTGATTTTGGGCTGCTATGTGTAAAAATTTTTATTTTGGGTCCTCATCCGTAATTATTTTCCTTTTTGGACCCTTATGTGTAAATTCTCCAATATTTTTTTAAAAGCAAGAAAGTTCAGATTTGTAGTGGGTGGAACTAAACCTGACAAGCTAAGCTTGAGAACCTACGTAAACTCCGCTTGGTTCTTTAAAAATATTTTTTGTTTAAGATTAATACCCGGTTAGGATGACAAAGTTATCTGTTATAATTTGGTCTGGAGTTTAAACTATGCTCAAAGCATCCCTTCAGACTCTCGAAGTTTAAATTATGCTTAAAGCATCACTTCGTGTTATCCACACTTACTAAACTTATTTCGATAACTTACGTTTTTTTTTTTTTATGTTTAGGTTTCGCTGAAACGGGATTGTCATTGTAAATTTGGTCGGGTAAAGTTGCAGATAAGGAATATGCCAATTTTGGCGGCAGTGTTGAGTGTATGAATATTGTAGTAATTATGTTGTAGCCGTCGGTCGGAAGATATTTTTTAAAAAAAATTATTAAATATATTATATTAAATTTAAATATATAAAGAATATAAAAATTTAACTATTTACTTTTTTATAAAAATGTTTTTGCGAAGATTTTTTATTTATTAACACCGTTAAATATGAATCACGTTGATGTAACCCATGTTTAACCATATCGATATAACATACATAAACGGCTAAAGCAGTTAAACAAATAACGGTTCCAATCCCTACTAAAAATAAAGATATTATTTGTACAAAATCTTTTAACCCGTACATACATAAATATGCGAATTATTTATCGTCATGCGAATCGTTAATCATCCGTTCAATCCGATCGATCCGTGTTACAATTAGATTCGTCCTAAAAGTAGGCGAAATTAATAAAAAGTAAAACAAAAATCAGATCAATCTACGTGTTAATACTAAATTCGTGACCTGGCATGATAATCAGTACACACTTAGAGAAAAAAAAAGAGTTATCGTTATCTCCAGAAAATGTGTAACAAATATACAAAACAATAAATTGATGTAAATTGAATTTAACTAGTATATCTTTAATTGTATAAATCAATCCCGAGAAGCACTGACAATAATACATTATTTGTGCACTACAGTAAGTTTAGTTTGATTTCATAATTTACGTTAAATGGTTAGGTCTACTTAATATTTTAAAGAGTAATATTAATAATAATAGCACTTGTATTCCCACTATGGCAAATTAATATATCCTTCACTCTTATGCATTCCATTTTTATCATAAGCACCAATTTTTGAGATGTGAAGTTTTTCAATCTTACTTATTCCATATTCAAAATTTGTATATTTATCAATAATTGGGATGGCAGAAAATGGTAATCGCTGACGCTGTTTATAATTATCCTTTTTTGAGAATTTTCGGTGACTAGTATTTATTAGTGTTGCATGAACCTATGATGAGCATTAAAGATGTTTATAGTAAGTTTACCTATGAAACAAGTGTAATATAGAAATATTAATGAATTTTGTAAAACCTTGAATGGACGATTATCCTTCTTCATGTAACCTGCTTCTGTGAACTTGGCTGTCAAAAATTCTATCGAGTAATGTGAACAGTTAATAGTCAAATACGGCAAATATATCAATATCAACACACTTATAAGTATATTCACGCACCTGCTAGTTTTATAATAACATCTCGGCCTTCAGATTCATCCACCTTTGCATACAAAACATTCGCTTTGGCTAAAAGCCCAATTGATATTTTAATGAGAATTAATTAATATATGATTATAATACTGATTAAATTTCAAGTTTTTATTTACCGGGATTATTTTCCATAACTGCTATCCCTAACAATTTGGCAATTACAGATCGTGTGCCTACCAAATCATAAATTTCCGCGCTTAAACTTTTTAGTAATTGTACGGCACCTTCAATATCCTCTTGCACATGCAGATTTAGCACACCCATAGTGAGATGTAGAGAAGGTGGTTTAATAAATATTGACTCATCTACATTAGGAAGAGAAAGTGAAGCTACTTCAGATTGAAAGTCTACAACTTTCTGCTGAAGAAGTTGATCCGTAAGCGGTAGAGAAAGAAAATGAGTTGGTCGCAACTTATCAGCTCCCTTAAAATAATATTGTTTATAATTAGGAGTCGGAATTTGTATTATTAAAGTTGATTAAAGAAAATCTACCTACCCATTTAACTGCATTTTCTATACGTTTTTTAGCCTTTTCCACGTTTTCTTTTGTACCTTTAATTACTGAATAAAAACAAAAATTAAATTGTATTAAATGATCAACTTTATAATTAATAAAATTGCAATTTACCAATATTATCGTCTCCGCGCTGTATTGTGATCGTAGTTTTTGAGTCTCGTTGAATTTGATTTAATGTGTAGCCATTCTTTCCTATTTTATAGTACTTTTAATTAATCATTTCAAGTTAAAACCACGTATAGTATTATAAATTACCCAGTATAAATTTTTGTAAATGTTGAGGACATGTGAGACTAATTGTATTAATTTCTGCAGAAGAATCACTTAATATTTTGTCATTGGATGTTGAAACTTGCTTGGCTGTGAATAATAAAAGTATCTTGAGTTAAATATTTGATTTAAAACCAATTACCATTAATACTGTACCTAACAGTTTATGATTAGTTTTCGGAATCGAAGCGGTAGGAACGCGATAAATGCGCCTACCAAAATGAATTAAAGTTATTCCTCGCATACATCTCGGTATTGAGGTTGTGGATTGTTCAGACGCTTCCATTTAGATATACGTACGTACGCAGGCTCAAAATTTTCTTAGCAGTTAAAAAATAATTTTTGCAAATCATGTGAAACGAAATCGGATAGTTACACTACATATTCGATTAGTATAAATTTATGCACTTTTTATAGTACAATCGAAATAGCAGTTTTTCTTATACACAGACAACTTGCGATTGCGGAGTTCTAGCATCAGCTCACGTCGGGATCTTAAAGGGACTGTAACTTGGTTATCTTATCGAAACGCCTGGAACCTTGCGAAAGGGTGAGAACATCAGGAGAGTTTTATTGCTTCAAACAACAGGAAAAAGTATAAAGAGGTCGATTTAAAGGGAAAGTTAGTTCTTTTAATTCTAAGAGAACGCGATAATAACTTAATCAAAGTAACGGTAAGGACAAACGTACGTACGTTAAAAGTACACATGCAACTGGTAACATTGAGCGTTCAACTCAAGACAAGAACATGGCAAGGCAAAAAAGCTTGGCAGCGAGTTTTACTCTCAATTAATTTCGAAATCATTTGTTGGGGCGACATAAGATCAAAGGTTGCCACATAAGTATAGTATATTCAGTTTTCTAGCTGTCTTCAACAGCAAACTTTAGTTCATTAATAGTGCTGCAAACTTTGTACGGCATTGTTGTCGTGCGGAAAATTGGTTCAAACAAGTCATTTTAAGGGATATATCAACCTGGCAACCTATCTCAATGCTCGTTCATTACAGATATTTATCTAGCAGTCTGTTTAAAGGTGCTGACAAACACAATGTATCTCTCTCCGGAATCTCAATTACTGTGAATTAAAACTTATAGATATTTCTGAGGGTCCAACATCAAATCACTACCACGCTTACGATTAGATACCACTTAAAATCTAAAGGAGAAGTTCATGATGCCAAATGCAGGGGTAAAAATTTACATCGGTAACCTTCCGGAACGAGCAAGACCGGAAGATATCAAAGAATGCTTTTTGAAGTTTGGCACCGTAGTTAATATGGAGCTCAAAGGAAACTACGGATTCATTGTAAGCGTTTCTCTATGGTGATGAGCACTTATTAACTGTTGACAAAGTGGAGCCGCAGTGGCCCGCGAGTGTCGTATGCGTCCAAAGGATTTCAAATTAATCATGTTAAAAAAAGGGTGCATTTTTATATCGTTCATCGTCATCTACGTTTAAGAAATCCTTTGGGCGCATTAGCTAGCAGTATACAGAGGAATTCTGAACGATCGTTGTAAATAGTAATAGTACTGACATAACTGCAACATAAAATCAATGAAAAGGAATATGAAGAACGTCGCATGTGTGATGAAGCAATTAGTCAACTTCATGGAACCGACTTTCAGGGGTCTCAGCTTCGTGTTGAGTTTGCTCACGCCGAAAAGAACGGAAACTTTAATAAATTCAGAGAAGGGAAATCCAGTGATACATGTTTTAAATGCGGTCAAGTCGGGCATTGGGCACGAGAATGTACTAGGTAAGCAACCGTCATGGTCATTGGGCAGACAGAGTTACTCACGGAATCAGAACAGGGTATTGGCAACTATAATCATTTTAAGACATGTCACAGTAATGCTATAAATCAAATGGGAGTCATTCATCAACTTTTAAGATTGCTGCTCCACGAGTCAACATAGCACCTTGAGAAATGCTTATGTCTTCAATAATTGATGTCATTTAGCGCCCCTCGCGAGCTTGTTTCTCGTAAACCAGGTGGTCGATACGATGATCGTCGAATAACAGACAGCTATGTTAGGGAACCATACAATGCTAGAGAAAACCGAGAAAAATACGACAGAGATGAAAGGTATCCAATGCCACCTCCTATTGAACATAGAGGATATGATCGACCATACGATCGTTATGGTAGAGAACCTCCAGAGGTAGAATACAGAAGAGAATATCGTGGCTCTTATGACAGACCTTATGAGAGAGAAAGAGACAGGCCTTACGAACGAGGCTATCCTGATCGTGAATACGAGCGTTACAATAGAGATAATTACGATCGTAATTACTATGCTGCTCCAAGAGATGGTTACGAAAGAGATGGTTACGAACGGCGACAATTACCACCACCTGATTTACCATATCCACCTAGAGGCCGAACAGGATCACCACCACCACCACGTCGTGGAAGTTATGATAGGGGATTAAGGTAATAATCAATCATTAAATTATTGATAAATCATCTAATTATCACTTTTTTCTCTTATGGTATTTATAATAGAGATGCGCCAATACCACCTGTTTATCGTGGTCGCTCTCCATTACCACCTTCCCGCTATCCTGATCCAATGATCGGACCACACCCTATGAGACCACCATCTCCTCGTCAAATCTTCAGGTTATTATTATTCTTATTATTATTATTAAATCGAGTTAATACCATTAAAGATGGCGCATAGTGACTTTAATATTCATATATTATTTATTAAGGCGTCGTTCTATGAGTCCTAGAAGTGGTAGAGTTCCACCCATACCCTATTCAGGGAGACAGCAGAGGACACCTAGTCCTGGAACTAAAACACTGCCGCAAAGACGAGGACCGAGGACTCCAAATTAGACGTTGAAATCATTTAGCATTAGTGAGATCTTCATTTATAAATCAGTCTTACTAGGATAACTTAATCAAAGATATATTATCAACGGTTTGCTCTTGAATAGGCTCTATTATAGTTATGGGAAATCAGACACAACTGCTCTTAGAATTATTAGCAGCTTTTGGATTTCTTAAATTTATTTTTTAAAAATTTATATTATCTTTTTTTTTGGATTTATATCATTATTGGACTATTTTATTGAATAGGCGAATGCCTCGTAATCAACAATAAAAAAAAAAACTGCCTTTTTTAAAAAAATAAATTGTTTCATCAACAATAAACTATGTAAACAATTAATAATGAAAAAAATTGGATAGCGATCATTTAAAATTACAATTATTACTGACATAAATAATTATATTATTAGACTATGTACGGTAAACGCAACTTCCCTACTGCTTATTATAATATTAGATAATTTTGATTAGCTTGACGAAGCAAAAAAGAAAAGTATAAAAAATATGAGAAATGAACATATAAATCTGCCTTATAAAAATAATACGACAGGGTGAAACTTGAGTTGCGAAATAGTGAAATCATCACATGAGGGTGAAATCCGCTTTTATATAATACAAAACATAATAAAAACGTGGATTTCACCCTAATCCGATCTACAAAGCGGATTTCACTATTTCGCAACTCAGGTTTCACCCTGTTCTAAAATAATTTGAAAGCAATTTACTTGGTTTATCCTAAAATGTTGGCATTAGATTTTCACCAAACAACCCTTTTGGATATGTGGGTCACTTTCTACAGTCTTGATGCTTCGAGATTTTTTAATAAAATCTTATCATTTAATGATTATAGGTATTCCTGGCATACTATTATATTATGATTCATCACAATTTTCAATCAAATTAATTTTATTCTAAATGTTAAGTCATATAAAATTTATAACTGGTTTTTATAACCTGGCCGGGTTATAAAAACTATATTTTAATATAATAAAATTTAGCTAGATTGTGAAATCTAAATTTTATACGTATATTAAAAAATTAGATTATATATATGCTGTATTATATATGAGTGTGGCCAAGGGAACGTATAGTTTATTATTTGGAGAACTTAACTCCTGATGAACAATATGCATTACATAATTGAATCACATGCATAACTAATTTCTAGATGTTTCGATACATATACTTTAAATCGTATATATTTATTTATTTCTTTTTTTCGTTTACCTTGTGCCTTTTCTGTATTGACACCTTTTTTTTTTCACCTTTACTTATTACATCGTCCAGAGGTTTTGGGTAGAGTATGTCTTGAAATTCAACAGTACTCATGAATTTTGTCTCAAAATTCAAATTGCTTCTGTTCTGAAAAATCTTTTATCAAAACATTTTGTTTTAATAGTTGGAATTTGTTTTAGAAATTAGTTGTTATTACTTTAGCCCTTATTAAGCCAGGTATTTTATAATTAAACTGAAAAAGTAATACTACTGAATAGCAGAAGGTTTTTGATATAATTTGTAAACAGTCAAAAAAGATATCATACATATTATATAATAAGTTATAATAAAAATTACAATAAAAATATAGAAATTTATTATAAACTTTAAGTTCAAAGTCTTTTTCAACTTATATATGTATTAACTTATTTTTAAATTTTAAGGTTAAGCATATTAAAAATAATAAAATAAAATCATTTAAACCAATTTTTTAAAATTTTGCAAAAATTAAAAATTTTATAAATTTATTTAGTATAAATAAACATATAAATTATTGCAAAATTATAATAGATAAAACTTATCTAATTTATATTATAACTTTAATCTCAACTATTTATAAATTTACTTAAATTGATTTTTTTTTTATATACGTATTAAGGCTGATATTAATGATGATTAACATCTTTATTTATATTTTTAGTTAATACATTATATATTATTTGTACAGAGCAAGTATACAAATAGTTATATGTATAACTTTTAGTTATTTATTTAAGTAGTCTACCTAAAGGTTCTACATTAGTTGTTATATTTATAATCTACTAGAAGATTATTTATTTAAATACTTTTGTTCTTATATTACATTTAGACAGTAATCATAGTTCTTGTATAACTAAATGTTGTCTAACCTAATATTTATCTTTACTTTCTGTATGTTTATCAAACTGTTATCTAATTTCAAAACATATTATCTGACTGTAAGGTTCAGAAAACTTTCTTGTTAACTAATCTATCCATTTTACAAACTATTGACAATATTAGTTTTTGCAGAATTTATTCAGATTCTAGTATCTATTTTATAGCATATTCTTAGTATTTTTAGTATATTTCTGTTTTTTTTTTAAATTTTCAATTCAGATAACTTGGTAAAACTATAATTAGTCTATTGATATGTTAGATTAGTCTGATATTCTTTTTTTCTAGTTCTCTTAGTTAGAATTTTAACAACTTAAATAATAGTATCTTTTATCTAAAGATTTTTGTTTATTCAGATATTTTACATTAGTATCTGTTTCTTAAATCTAGTTTTTATAGTAATACTATTATAGATTTGTATTATCTCTTTACTTAGATTTTTTTTAATAGGTTTGTTGTTCTTTAAATTTTTATGAATTTATATAGTTACAAGAATTTATCTTGAATTTATACTGCCTGATGTTAGTTTGTATTTTTTTGTATAATTAGTTATATAAATATTTCATAATTTGCTAATCATGCTAATGTGATTATAATTATAAGTATCTTAACTTAATCATTAAAAGCAGTTTTTTTTTTTTTAAAATGACCTTTTTTAGTTTTTTTGATTTTTATTAATTATTTATTGGTATTGTGATTTAATAAACTACTACAGAAAAGTGTACAATTTGTTATATATATAAGTTTTCTATATTATCTAGAGTTGTTAATAGAGTGATATACTTTGAAGCCACTCTGAAGTAAGCTCAATCCAAGTTGGAGTAGGTTAAAGATATGTCTAAAAATCTGAAGTGAATTGGAGCAGCTCTAAACAAATCTGAAATGGCTTCAGAGTAAGCTCAACCTAAGCTGGAGTGAATTAAGAAGTTGCTTAACCTAATCCAACTCAATCCAATCTAATCCAATCTATTAACAACTTTAATATTACCTATTTAAGGAATCCACCTAAAGGTTCCTTATCAATTGCTGTATCTAATACTTCTGCTTAAGTGTTTTACTTTAAACTCTCTAAACTTGTAATCTGTATTAACTCACTAGATTATACTCAGATACCCAAATCATTATCTTAACCTTAGAACTAATTTATTCTCGAAATAAATTCTCTAGAGTTTTCTGTACTTATTTTTATAACTGACTTAGATATCACTATGGCAAAACCAACACTTGCAGTTAGAGCTTAATCATTAAATTATTATGCTCTTGTAGAGTTTATTTAAACCCTAGCATCTACTTTATAGCCAGTGTTGTCAAACCTGTAGTCATCAATAAATTTATTGGTCATTGGTCAAATAACCTTTGGTCTGGTTGGTTTGGTCAAATTGGTCAAATGATATGGTTACACGGACCAATCAGACCAATTTGACCAGTTGATCATAGTCAAATTGGTCAAATTGGTCAAATTGGTCGAATTAGTTAATTGACGAATCGATATATAGTTACACAAACTGATCAGACCAAATTGATCTTAAATCAATAAAATCTCTTTCATATATTAGAAAACCAAATTATATAACTATATCTGAATTAAGGTCACCTAATTTAACAAAAAGGCTAAATATTATTAATTAACCTGATACTTATTAAACAAGTTGATGTTAACTAAATAAATGAATTTTTTATTTAATATAATATATGAAATCATACTGCGCTATTAAACAAAAGCTTTATTCGAGAATCAGCTAATCTAATATTTATAATTAACCTTTATTTGTATGATTAATAAAAATCCAAAAAGAACAAAACGCTAATACAAGAATATCGATAATATTAGGGGTTCTATAATTAACTTATTTCAAAAATAAGTAGGTGTTTAAAAGATCCGATTTTCTGATTTAAAAAGTTCTAAATCAAAAAGTTAAATTGACTTAACATTAGGGTGCTCTCCGGCATCTCTCTTAATGTGATTGGCTAGTATAGACAAGTACTATGGTAATTTTGCCAAAAGATTCATATTGCAAAATGCGGATATTTCTCATCATGATAATAAACTCGCTTGACTGAACAATTTATTTTTACTAATCAAAAATTGAGCTTCATTCTATTAATTTCAGTACTTGAGAGCCTCCTTTGTCAGTAATAGAATTAGCTTCCTTTTAGAATTGATTGTAGGAACAATTAATTGTTGATTAAATTGCAATTTTATGTAATTAGCTTACATATCATAAATTCACCATCAAGACTATTAATTACAGTAAATACATGTGATTTTTGATTTTTCTCTGGTTACATCGGGTACTGTATACAGCTCAGCAAGTATAATAAACGAAAATTGAATGTAATTGCAATTATTTCATCATTAGTTAGTTTTATGAATTGTGCATCTACCAGTAAGAGATTATATAAATAATTATATACTTTTAAATAATAGGTTTCATTTGGAATAAATAAAATGCTTATTTTATTATGAAATCGGACATCAAATCAATAACTCTGAAGCTTCCCATTTATTTTATTTTATTTTTACTCCTAATTACAGAGTTCATATTCTATAAAATACTTCGTTAAACCTACTATTAAATTATTAACGCTATAAGTGAATTCTATAACAAAATATTAAGATATTTGTATATGTATGCTTGATGTTCTCCTCAATAAATAAAGATGTTACTGAACTAAAATAGAATCTACACAATTTATTCACATAAATCAATGTTAAGTGCTGGTTGTAAAAAAATAAAGATTGATTAAAAGATAGAAAGTATTCATGCAGATTCACGCATATGAATAAATACTAAATGCCAATTTAATGTAATAAAAGATACATGAATCTGTATGAATATTGGAAAAGTATCAATTTATCGCTAATTTCAAATTAGTGCGATTATAAAATTTTATAAATTCAATGAAGTCAAATACTGCTATTGTGATAACAATAAGATTTATAAAATTCTATTACTATACTAATTTGAAAATAGCCATAGACGTCTATTTTTTTTGCAATTTCATATGCTTGTATAAGATGCTATATGTACGTATCTCAGCTTTAAAAAAAACTCATGATAGATTATCTTAAAACAATCATATGCAAGACATTCAGAATTTCAGAACTTACCATTAATCTAACACAAATTTGCTTTTGAATAAACCAAACTAGTTATCAAATTCGCATTAGTAGAACCGGTCAAATATAAAAGCTACATAAAAAAAATAGATGTTAGCATTAAAAAATGTTCCAAAATCGTTCCCATAGATTAACAAAGTATGTTCACGTTCAAGATAAATTAGGTCCAAACCAAACAGCCAAGCAAGCTATTTGCAAAGCTTGCGAAAGTCGTGAAAACATTTTTGAAAAAGAAAAAAATGAAAAACTCGAATTATGGCAAGTATATGAAAGATGGGGATTTTTTAACAAGTAGGATTGTGTACAATGATACTGGAAGCATTGTCTATATTGGCACGAGTTCTGGGTTAATGAAGATCAGAAAATAATGATGTATGAAGATGCCGACAAAAATATGGCATGTAATACTGTTAGGGCATTGCGACAAGCAAGAGTACGAAATGATATGGCCATGTCTGTTGTTTCATCAAATTTCAGAGCTTCAAGTGCCTCAAATGCTTCAGGATTTATATTTGCTGACAGTACACAAATATCAGAAACTTCTTCAAGCTTGTCACATGTTAGTGAAGTAAGGCAATCTAAACCAAAAAAAAAATTATGTTCTTGATACATATGTTGTTCATCCATTAACAACCAGCCAGCAATATGAATTTAATCATCTTCTCTTGCACTTGATAATTCAAAATGGACTTGCATTTCGATTTACTGAGTGTAATACACTTCGTAAATTAGTTGATTTTTTTAACCCGACTGTTAAAATTCTATGTCGTAATACATTAAGCACTAAAATTCTTATTGAGTATGCAGATAAACTTGAACAAAAAAAGGTTTTTGCTCTTTTAAAGTCACAAGAACCTGTTACAATAATGTTCAATGGTTGGAAGAATGAGTGTTGCCAAGAAATTTTAGGTGCTTTTATTCTTTCTGCAATGAATCAACTATATATATGGGGTGCCGAGGATATTAGCAATTGTAGTCAAAAGACTCCTGATGTGCTGGACATGATTAATAACTTCTTTGAGCATGCTAGTAATCAAAATTTAAATGTAGTGGCAATGGTTACAGATAGCGCATCAGCATATGCCTCTGCACGCTATGTATAGATTATGGAAGGTTATGGTATGATTTCCTGAAATTATTCTCCTTATAGGCCACTTACCTGACATCACAGAGTAAAAATGTATAGCTGCAATTAATAAAATGCTAACCCTAACATTATGTGATGTCATATAAGTGGCCTGTAGAGAACAAACTTTTAGAGAATTGAGCAACAACCATTATAGAGGTGAAGAAAAAATCTTTTAAAATAAAAAATAAAAAAAAAATTTAAAAAAATAAAAAATTAATTATAAATATTATTTACCAGACGTAAAATATGATTACAAAAATGTAATATTGTATTTCTTCCATGCTGTAATATTATAGATATTTTTAAATATTATTTTATATTATTTTATTGATATTATATTAGTTTTATATTATATT